ATACTGAATTTTAGGAGTATATCGATTTTGCTATTAAACTTTTAAACAGTTTTATTTTTGGTACCACACCTTTTCAACTGTCTTCGGTGGGTAATCGTTGTCTGTCATCGGTCATCTTTTGCAGCAAGATCGATATCACAAAGTTTACATTTCGTTCATCTTTCTTCTTCTATGATTGATTTTCTACACAACCCAATCAAAATCGACAAATTAAACAAAAAAAATCTACCATTTTTAGGGGTTTTGGGATTTTCTTAGATTTGAGGGGTTTAGGGTGTTTGTTCAAAAATATAAACGGCGAGAAACACTATTTTAAGAAGGCGAATAACATACCTCAAAACTAGCCTCACCGGACGGTCATCGAATGATATCAGAGCATTAACACGATGAACTTTGAAATAGTTTTTCACCGATTTTGAGTGGATTTCATGAAAAATTGATCCTAAGAGAATAAAAATGAGTGAAATGTGAACGTTTTGATACTAATCTTGTTACGGAATACGAACGGTGATAGGTGGTGATTAGCTGTCGGTTGCGACCGGGGAAAGTGCAGTGTCAAAAATGAAACTGTTTAAAAGTTTAGTGGCAAAATCAATACATTTCTAAAGTTCAATGTCTAAAACGACATCATTGTAGGCATCAATAATCATTTCTAAAACGATGTTATTTTGTCCACATCATCACAATGACAAAAAAAAATTGTCCACGTTATCGTGCCATTAAAATTTAACATCCCGGTAGTATAATCGAAGCTAAAACCAAAGTTTAGTGTTATAATTAGATAAATTAAAAGTTCAATAGTATAAAGAATACATTACCTAAAATTTAGTGTTATTTGATGTAATTTACCCTTAATTTTATTTCTGTACTAACTGAGATAAGTAAAGGATAAAAAAAATTCAGCCCCAGAACTGGAAAAAATTATCAACATGCATGATATGTAATTCATGGAAGACGAAGAATGGAACCTCGGATAATACAAACCAGACTCCAGTTTATCAGAAATCCAAGCTCTCATTTTCAAACATGGAAGAACAATGAACTAGAAAATTGGATTGAAATCATTCTACTTCAGCATACACAAGCAAAATTTATCTCTTCTCTTTGGTAAATATGAGTAAATTATATAATGGAAATGATACAAAAATTATTACACGAGGAGAAAAAAAGTTAACTTTTAGCTGTAATTGGTTATTTATCCTCGTAAATATGAGCTATGCATCATATGAAGACTAAGTTATCAAATCTACTTGAGTGTATGATCCGGTCCTTGAGCACAGCAGACTGATACAAATAAATTGTAGAAGATTTGTTCACAAGACCCCGTGTGCTCGTTTTGGATCGGGGCAGTGTCGAGATACATACGCTACGGTTAGCACAGCAGCAAGTAGAACTAGACCTTTCCATCTGATGAAGGCCGGCTGGTATCGGTTTTAACCGCTTTCGGATTCGATGTTGTTACCGAATTCGTACCTTTCGAGGGAGATGAGGATGGTGTTGGGAGCTTCTTGGGAAGCCTCTGTTCCCAGTACTCCTTAGGCAAGCTCGATGATTCCGAAAGAACGACGAAAGCAAGAAGAGTGAAGATCAGCAAGCACTTGTGCCTCCAAGAAACTAGCATGTTTGATTCTTGGTTGTGGTGATGTTCAAGAGATGCCTGGAGCTTCCCCTGACTTCCAAAGATGGCTCTTTAGAAGGTTTGTGGCAGCAGACATGTTGAGGAATACAAGGAGACTGCCAACTTGTCTGTAAGAGAAAAAACATGTCGATGGCAGACAATGGGGGAATTACTGAATTAGATAATACTAAAAGTCTAAAACTTTTTAAGCAGCTCATGGTTGTTGCTTTCATTGTCCAATAGGAAGTAGAATCTTGGAGCGTTGAGTGAGGAATTTGAGGGATTTTATATATTCATCTGGGACCAGACAATTAGCTGGGGGTTTTGATTTGTTTTTATGTTCGATCTTTCCAGGTCTGGTAACAAATCTTTGTCGTCAGAGCTGCTCTTGGTGCTGTAACCAGTAAAGCCACTGACAATAAAACACTACAAAAAGTAAAGAAACAATTAAGCAACTAATACATATGTATAAGCTAATTTAATACAATACATAGTCACATGGTATACCATGCATGCATGACACCCTTCATGTTGCCATGCGTGCACATATATATTTCTTATTATTCTACCTCCGGGTTATACCCTTAAGATAATGTCACCTAGAGCAATAATTAACGGAACCCTGGAAGACCCTTCATTAATGACAAGTTACCGCAGGAATTACCGTCTCCAAATGGTCACTCGAAGCTCCCCTTCACTTCCTTTTAATCTGACGTTGATAACCAAATCTAATGGTTGACTGTTGTATCTGTATAAACTGATAGTCTGTTGGCAGTTATGATGAATGTATTGATTGTTATTGTGATCCTTTATTTCTTATATTCTACTCCGGGTTATACCCTTAAGATAATGTCACCTAGAGCAATAATTAACGGAACCCTGGAAGACCCTTCATTAATGACAAGTTACCGCAGGAATTACCGTCTCCAAATGGTCACTCGAAGCTCCCCTTCACTTCCTTTTAATCTGACGTTGATAACCAAATCTAATGGTTGACTGTTGTATCTGTATAAACTGATAGTCTGTTGGCAGTTATGATGAATGTATTGATTGTTATTGTGATCCTTTGTATGTCATCTTACGATTGGAAAATTTATACCCGGAACGAAATTAAAAGGGGAACTTTTTCTCTAAAATCGTTCTTCCATCTAAAAAAAAAAGTCTCTTCTTCATCCCATGATAGACACCACTGTCCATGGTTGGTATCTCACCAACTACAACTTTCCGCTCTAATAAAAAAAGATGAACCACTTGTGACCGACGAATCAAACTTATTCCCATCAACACTTATCAATCCTTAATTAATATTAAATCATTTTCTCAATGTTTAGTTCATACTATATGGATGCATGTATGGAAGGACGGAGTTATCAAGGGCATGAGAAGGATTTATGTTTGTCTAATGTTTTAGTCTCTGCTAATTTAAATATTGTTAAATTCAATTTGTTTTTTTCTCAGATTTTGGATTAAATATTTCTTAAGTCTCTATTCATTTTAAAAGTAAATGATTAAATTCCTCTTATTATGTAATTCTAATTTCATTCATGCATGTATGGATATTCTTTATATAAATTAGACCCCATAAAAGTATCTGCCTAGAAGGTCCTCTAAGCCATATATTAATATTAAAGGCTGGGCAACCAACCCTACCTAAACCATGGCGTTATTAATCTTGAAGTTCAATCATGCAAGCATGAGGAGAGTGGCCTTTTCCTTTCTGCAAAACATTAGAGAAAAAGTGAGTCCAAGAGAAGCATCTTAGACTCTTTTGTGTGCTACTTTACCAACATTCATAGAATTTGATGCAATAAAATTAATAGTAGTTTAAACAGTGTTAGTGAGATATGTAGATGTATTTCACGACAAAATCAAGTGGTTTTCAAGACACCCACCAAATGCTTTATAACTTATATTTGGCTAGTCCTTTAAGGGCAATCAAAGGTCCAACTAAGGGGCAACTTGGCTTATTTCAATATTGTAAAGAGGACATGCTTCTATGACAATTTATTTAAGGGTTCATTGATCCTAGTTGGACCTTGTAAATCTTTAAATAAAGGTGGTTAATTAGGGTTTACATTGATAAAATAAATTAGTTTTTTTCCTAGATAAACATGATTATTAAAATATGAACTACGTACCACAAGTCAGTTATTCATGTGATAAATTTTATATCACCTCTAACTGTAAATACCAAATATCTAAATGATTAATAGGTCACAATTTCAAGAGTCGTATTCGTATTAAAAATCGGAATCAAACGGGATTTTATCCTTTTATTTTATATAAAAGTTTTATTCTCTTTAATTCGTCTTAGGATAACTATAGAAAAAATAATTATCTAAATGTAACTCTTATTAAATAATTGTATTGTGACCTTTCATCATCATACGCAAACCATGTTGTTTACTGTTTTGAAAATGATCCACCATCATTGTGGTCTGAATCTTGTTCACGAATTTAGGGTTTTCTTCCCTTCTTCTTTAAGCTAATCATCATGAGCTCAATTGAACCAGGAAGACTCACTGCAGGAGAAGAATGGGGTAATCTATGGTTTGTGATAAACTTAAGTTTTTTTTTAGTGATAATATCACATTTGATACCTTTACTTTGATAAAAATATTTAATGTGGTATTTTTACTCTTAAGATGTCCAATGTGGTAGTTATACTACTAGAATATTTAATTTGATACATGTATTTCAACATGATTTTAATATAATAATTATATTTTGAAAAAATAACTAATTTGAAAAGAAAAGAAAAGGTCGTAACATCCTCACCCTATCAAAGACAAGCATGATCTGAAAATTGTGTTCGAGATTAAGGTTGAATTGAGGGGAGACAGTCGTCTCTCGAAAATTTTAAATTTTCATATATTTTATATATTTTCTATGTTTTCTATTGATAATATATTTTCATCTCTTACAATTGAATAAGTTCGTCCCGTCTCGTACTAAAATATTATAAATTTACCCTTAATATAAAATTTATATTATAAATTTCGTTAAAAAAATCTGAATTTTGTGATAAAATTACAGTGCGTCATGTCATAATAATATCTCAAAAAATATTAAAATTTAACCGTCAAAATTAGTTAAAATGATTAATTAATTAATTAATTAATTAATTTCTCGATTTAGTAACTTAATTAATTTATTTTCTTAATTTAAAGATTCAATTAATTGCAAAAATAATTCATAGCTTAATTTATAGGAAGCCATGCAACATAATCAAGAATGAATATGAGTTTCACCAAGATTAAAAAAGACTACTTATTTTATTTTAATAAGGGGAAATTGACACAAAAATTACAATTGATTCTAATGTAATCAACTATATAATTTTACACTTGCCACTGGTAAACTATAACATGCTTGTGAATCCAAATGAATTACGTATATATTAGGCCAGATTGTGGAGAACAGACCGTAATCTAAGATTCATGTTCAAACAATGGCAGACTTGATCGGTTCTTCCTCGGTGGGACGCCAGAATTTCTTGCGTACGCAAAGGAATCCTTCGCCGTCTTTCGAATAAATCATTCGGATCTCCCATTGCAGAGATTTAGCCATGCTCTCCACCTCGCTAATCGTTTCGGCTGTGTCTCGTACGATCAGCTTCCCTTCCGGCCGCAGAATTCTATCGGCTTCTGCTATTACTGTGACCAACTTGCACCTGCAGACAATGAACCAAACGTCATATCATGGAGGTGATCTTGGTTGAGAAATAACATCTGCAAGAAATATAGCATGGAAGATAGTAGACCTCTTTTGAATGCTGGAGAAGAGATGATCTGCATGAAGAACATCGTACGTTCTCGGGTATGTGTTAAATGATTCACACCAATCATGATGTATTCCGAACAAGCCACGTTCGTAGATTACCGGAAGTGTATCGGGAGAGTCGATTGGGACGACATTCATAACCCACAATTTCAAGTCTTTCAGGGCCGCAGCAAACCTATAAACCGAAGCACAGAAGCATGATCGAGTAAGAACTAAGATAAAGAAAGGGCCTGATGAATAATGTCATCACTAGAGAGAGGTTAAACAAAATATACCCTCCGTAAACAGCTTTCATATCCATGACATTTCTCACAGAAGACCAGTCGATTCCCATCCCGTTCAAATACGACTGGGAGACGACTGTTTTCCAGTGATTGTAGTCTGCAGTGAAATCCTCCTGAGCATTCAACCAATATGGAGGTTGTTCCAACCTTTCCGGCCATTGTGCAGGCCAAACGGATCCTCTCTCAGTTGAATCTTCCGGTACTTTGTGCATGCATGCCTGAAGGGGAACATTCCTGAAGACATGAACCCGAAAATGTTCATCCATTGAGAGTATTGCAAACATTATTCATCAAGAAAATTCGGAGTACACTTACCAGGCTGCATTAGGATCATCAGATTCTTCACAAAGTGGAGGTACATTTTTAGACCTTTTCTCGTAGCAGTCATTGGAAGTCGGCTTCCGATATATTGCAGCTCCAACTGCGTTCAATCTGTCCTTCTTGACAGTCACCAGATCCCAGCACATTGATTTTGTTAGCCGAGACATCTCTGCCATCAGAAAGCCACAGCCCACAAAAATTAAAAACTTGTTAGCAATCCAAATCTCATTCTCCCTTAGGAACTACATTACTAGGTTATAAAATATTTTACCTTGCAAAATGCCAACATCTTCAGGGAGCTTCTGGTAAACCGGAGTAGCAGACCAAACAAAGTAACCACCGGGTCGTAGGACACGGTTGAGCTCCAACAGAAGTTTTCCACCTGAAACATGCATCCGGATGTGTCTCCGTATTAGCAAAGAATAAAACAGTATAGAATCAAACACTGACAAATACAAAAATGAAATCACACCTTCAACGTGCCAGGGGACCCTGCAACGTGCACAGTGCACAAGATCGAAGACGGAACTAGGATAAGGTAGTCTTTTGGTGCCCATCACATTTGATATAGCAGGAATCCCCCGTTCGAGAGCAAACTGCACTTGGGCTTCATGTTCATCCTTCGGAGCAAATGACATGGCAAGAACATCTCTTTCGAAGAGATAGCCTCCAAAGCTAGCCACCCCACACCCAACATCAAGTATCACACGGCTTCTTTTTCCCCATGCAATTTCAGGAACAGACTGCATTGTCGAAGCAGATATGTCGTCAACTTGACATGATTAGACGAAATAATACTTTACATTGTTAAAGCGAACATATATACATGCATGAAAGTACTTACCTCTTGAATAAAATCAATGTAATGAAGAGCCCCATTCTTAAACTGAGTTCCACCACCGGGAAAGGTCAGGTATTCGCCCGTTACTTTAACCCAATTCTGATGCCCCTTGACCTCTGCAAGCTTGGTGTGGGGGACATTGTAGTACCATATCTGCACCAAGCATCAAAAGAATAAATTTCAACCAAAGTAAATACACATAACACATACACTCTTTCAAGCTTTTGATAGGTGTTTACTTTATCCCGGCTTTTAGGCCATTTTATCGAGCGCTTATATCCTTCAGGTAGAGGGACAAGACATGTAGGAGCTTCATCCGGACAGTGCCTCTCTCGATGTTCATAGTGCTTTGTGCTTGGAAGCTTTTTGATAACTTGCCAATTGTCTAGGCACGGTATGTAGTCAGGCCCGGCAGTTGACTTACAGACTTTCCACTGGTGAACATTATTTTCACTGGATGTTGAAGTTTGCTGTGACTTCTTCTCATCCTGTGATTCCTCTGCTTGTGTCGACCAAGCTCCGATCTGAGTGGTAGACTCGGTCAAAATTTCCGACTGAGCAGCCGCAGGGAGAATCTCATTTGAAGTTTGATTGTTTTCCTCGCTTTCTGCATTGTTCTCGACAGCACTTTGTTCCGAGTTCTCGTCTTCATTTTTTCCTTTATTTGAAGTTTGATTGTTTTCCTCGTTTGCTTCATAATAGTTTTTACCACCCTCGGTGGACTCGGATCTGTTTTCACCTGAGCTATCCTCCGCTTCTGCCTCGACATTGTTATTCATTCCAACAGCTTCATTCTCTGCTTGTCCGGTTTCCAAATTCGACTCTCCCTCTCTTGAATTCATTTCCCCATCTTTACCATTTCCATTCCCATCATCTCCATCCGCCCTTTGTTGTTCACTTCCTGTCTCGGTTGTCTCATCAGAACTCTCGTTCCCATGATTTTCTTCCCGGTTTTCCTCAGCCGAATTCCGAGACTCCTCATCAGTATTCCCTGAAACTTTACTAGCCATACCAGTGCCATCTTCTTTTGTTGCATCATCCGATAAATCACCAGAGGTATCATCAAATTGCTTAGAAACACCTTCTTGCAATCTCTGTTTCACCTCATTCCCGGTCTCCTGCGACGACAATTCCAAATTCTGAACCGGAACGACGGATGAGGACATGAACATCCAAATCCCAACCAAACAAAAAGCAACAAACACAACTATAGCAGCCGTCGAACAGAAACTCGACTTCCTCCCATCAACTCTCGAATACTTCCCCATGACCATGTTTCTTTTAAACGTTCTCTCTTCTTACATATACCTGGAAGAACAAAAAGAAGTCGATTACTACCGGAAATCGACTTCTAAAACCAACGAAAACAAGTAGATCTAAACAATTAAATCTTAATATACCGAAAACAAGCCAATGGTAGCTGAATTATATGTATCTATACATAGAATTTTTCTTCTTTTTTTTACAAGAAAATCGAGTAGCTAGAAAACATTAAAAACAGCCTGTTCTTGAACAAGATCTTTCCCAAAAGTTATTCTAAAAACTAAATCTTGATCTACGAACGAAACCCAGATAAAAACAATCCACACAAAAGTGATTTTTTTTTCAATCTCCGGCCATTAAAGCTCAACTCAAAGCATGATCAGCTAAAGAAGCAAAACAGTAGCTTAAAACACCATTTGAGGCACTTTAATTACATGCAAAACTCATAACTACCAAATCACCTTAACTGATCAAAACATGGATAAAAAAAAGAATGTTGAAAAAAGACTGAACCTTTATTGTTTTTGCTTCGATGGGGCTGTTGCAGGCTTGTTGTAGGGATCTGGGTTCGGAGAATTTTAGGTGATTTTGCTCATTTTATTACAGTTTTTGTTAAATGAAGATGGAGATAGAAGTGGAAATGGTGCAGAAGCTGATTGTTTATTTATAGGCAAAGTTCAAGTATTGATAGCATAGTATTATTGCAGCTTTTTTTGTTGGATTTTGGTTGTCTGGATTCTTTTTTCACTAAAGGAAAGTGGACAAGTTGGATATTGGTACCATAGACATTTAATTTTATTAAAGAATTATATATAAAAACAAATTAAATACGATTATAATATTTAAAAATATGAAAATAGAGTTTAAATATAAAAATTATTGAAGTGAGAGATCTGTTTAACATTAAAAAAAATGTTCTTTTCGGGGCACATGCTTGTGTTTTAAAATATTCTTTTTTTAAATCTTGTCCTCCTTTGAAAATATCCTTTTTTTCATTTAAATTTCACCGACAAAATATGAAATTGAAACCCGTCTTTCATTTTCCATTATGCTTTTGAAAAATCATTCTATCTATATTTTTTAAATAAAATATTTGTAAAATATTTTATTTCTTTCATTATTAAAATCGTTTAATAATTTAAATAAAATTTTTATCAAAATAATGTTTCATTCAAAAATTTATTCAATTAGAGCAAAATACACCAATGATCTCCTACTAAAATATATTATTTTATTCAGTCTCCGACTATTGAAAATTATAAAATGATCCCTTAATTATAGGGAGTTATTTTGTTGAGTCTCTCTCTATTATTAAAAGTTACAAAATGATCAATTGACTATTAATTATGTTTCAAACTCATCATTTTTTCTTAAAAAAATTAGCGACAGACTGAACTGGAGGTTAACTTGCTGACTGTGATATAAAAAAATAGGATCTCATCATCTTAAACGACTATCATATCTCAATTAACATATTAACGTCTAGCTCAGACGATTATGATTTTTTAATAAAAAAAAAGGACGAGTATGGAACATAATAAATAGCCGAATGACTATTTTGTAACTTTTAATAGTAAAGAGACTCAACAAAGCAACTCTTTACAGTTGAGGATTATTTTATAAGTTTTAATAATCGACTGATTTATTAAAATAATATCCATAGTTAGGGGACCATTTGTGTACTTTACCCGTTTAGTTATCACATGATTCAGCAAGACAAACGTTAATTATAACATAATTACAAGAAGCAGTGCACCGACACTAAATTTAGATGCATGCAAGTCAATGTGTAGAACATGGGGAAAGGCCCCACCTAAGCCTCCATTCAATTCATAAAACACATCATTGAATTTGTATGAACGCAAGACTTTCATTGATTGAATCTCCAACATGATTTTATTGAAAAATCAGTAATAATTTTCCTATGAAAATATCACATAAAATGGTCCCATTCGGCATTAATTCTAATCTATATGGTTACGACTTAATTACAACTTTTTCAAGGGTTATGGTGATCCAGTCTAATTCGGACATAGACGAAACTATGTATAATATCGGACCAGCCCAACACTCAACACTCAACCGCAACCCAAAACCTTTACAACAATTATAATCGGCTTGGGTCCACGGTCCACCACTTACTCCTACCCTCCCACCCTGACTCAACTCCTCAACATCATTCGACCAAGTCAAACCGGCTACATATAATCTTGGAAAAATCGATGTGTTTAATCAGATCAGTTGTACATATGCTGCTGGTGATGTTACTTAATGTTATATAGACAGCATCAACACCAGCAGCCGCTTCTCAGGCAAAACCCGGCTTCCAAAGCCACTGGCGACATTATCATCCCTTACCAATTCGGTACCGGCTGTGATTGCAACGTCAACAAAAAAAAAATCATCACATGTACACCAGTTACAACATCCCATACCCAACAAGCCCTTTGAATCCACCACTAACATCGAAGTCATCGACATATGTTTCAACGATCAGTTGGGAATCCTCAGTGGACATGTTTATAAATCCTTTGACAGAATACGAAATCGTCAATGGAAACCATGTTAGTGCATAAGAATAGACATAAACAACATCTGCAACTTTGTTGCCGACCATGCAATACGATTTGCTGCCTACTGTCATAGTCGGACGGACTGCTTTTGTTACTTTGAGCATTAATTCCCGAAAGTTCACCGAGCAAAGACTCTGTCTCCTTCGAATCATTTTTCATCCAAGGATGCTTTAGCATTGTTCTTAGACCGTCCAATTCCATTGCAACTTCCTTCATTGAAGGCCTATCTTCTCCTCTTAACTCTTAAGCACCTGTTTGCCAACATGGAAACTTCCTTTATCTGTGCAGTGTTCCCCTCAGCTAGCACATGATGATCGATAATCCCGAAAATCGATCCTTCTTCAGTGCAGAAACAAACTGCATTGCTAGATTCCGCTCCTCTTCCGGCATTAAAAAACTAAGTGCCTTTCTCCCAGTCAATAACTCTGCAAGTACAACTCCAAAGCTATACACATCACTCTTTTCAGTTAACTGACCCGATTGAAAGTACTCCGGGTCTAAGTAACCAAGTGTGCCTTACACTAATGTGGTTAACAGTGTTTGATCCAAGTGAACTAACATTGAAGCTCCGAAATCCGACACTTTTGCAATGTAATTCTCGTCCAAAAGAATGTTAGTAGACTTGACATCTCTATGAATGATCGGAGGATAAGCAGCCGAGTGCAGACACGAGAGTGCTCCGGCAGTTTCTGCTGAATTCTCAACCGACATTCCCAGGATAAAGATGCATTGCCCGGACAATGCAAGCGCTGGTAAAGGGTTCCATTGGATATAAATTCGTAAACCAACAAAGGGACTTCGGTCTCTAAACAACATCCCAAGAGCTTCACCACATTTCTATGGTTAACCTGAGAAAGAACAATAACTTCATTAATGAACTGTTCGACTTGACTGCGATTTGCAATCATAGATTTTTTAATGGCGACAACTCTGTGGTCTCGCAGTAATGCTTTATAAACAGTACCTTGGCCTCCTTTGCCTAGAATTCGAGTTTCATGGAAGTTGTTTGTTGCCTTCTTGAGCTCTTCTGACGTTAAAATCTTGGCTGAAACAGGACCTTTAAGCTTTAAAAATTCTTGTAAGATAATTCCACATTTTGTAGGAAGAACTTTTCTCTTTGTCGGATGAGTTTTCTTCGCCAAAGTCCCCAATATGTCCAGGAAATGTTCAATATGACCACTAAAAGGCCTATGCTTACACCTAGACCGATGATAAGGAAAGGAAGGCCTTGTTCATCAATAGGACTGCAACCTGTTCCATATCTTTTTCCTGGTAAATTGTAGCATATTGCATTTTCCTCGCAGGAACTCCAAATCTTGCACTCATCCACATCTGCAAAAACATGTCAATCAGCAACAATCCCGAAGCCGGTAAACGACTTAATCGAGTTGCAGGTGACAGCAGATACAAAGAGACATGCCTAAACAACCTTCAGGGAGGTATGGATTCCCATGGAAACCGTCTGGACATTTGCAAAGATAACCCGAACCAATGACAGGTTCTTAACACTCGCTCTGATGACATGCGTAATTCGATGGATTCTTACCAGCTTTGTCACATGTCTCATTGCTTACAACCCAATCGACGGACACTGGAAACTTTTTATTTAGAGGTATAGATCGAACATAATCCGAAGAGAACCGAAATCTACTTTCTTCAACGATAAAAGCATAGCTGCACCGGTTAAAATCTGACACATTCACATGGCCGTTAAAGCTATTAGCTTGAACATCAATTGTTTTCAGTCCATCAGGAATCTGAGTCTGGCAACATCCGAATCCCGAACAAGATCCATTGACGAAGTCCTCAAACTGGTTACATATGGACATACATCCGGTACTGTAGCTTTTGTCTCCGATGAATCCCTTGAGATATGCATAAGTGTCGCATCCCATGGCGGTGAACTTGTTTCAGTTGTTTGAGACATTGTAAATCGACAAGGGAGACAGGGATGTTGTCTGTGGGATCACATCGGTCAGGGGAACATCTTAACAATCTCGAACAACTTTGGTTAAGATCTGCAACTGACCTTCCATGGTGATATCGGTGACAATAAAATCAGTGTGTGCTAAGTAGGCTATGGATTAGGTGGCTGATTCATTGCAACTGATACGAAAGTTCTCGTTTAGAAAACAGCCTTCCTCTGTGCCAAATGGGTATGCCATTTTTGTGCAACACTCGATTTCTTGTCACCGGGTATTACTGTTGCGGCCATTACCAACGATACGAGGATGTTTACTGATAATCTCGTACGAGGATCCATTACTCTCTCATTTAGAAACATGTAACTAAAAGTTTGATTAAAAGAGGAAAAGAAATAGTGTAAATCTTTGGATAATACGATGTATGGCAGCTTTGAACCATTTGCATTTTTCTTTTGGGATAAAACAGATTGCACATTGGACTTCTCTAATTAAGATCGTTTATTGTCATGGGATTATGTCTGAGACCACATTGTTGCCGGCTTTATAGCGAAATCTATTTCATTAATAAATGGACAAATTCAGCAAGACATTCTTATATAACTGGACAAAATCTAGGATGAGAATCTATACTGATTTGTTTATCTAGAGGATCCAACTGGCAATGTTTGGTTCAGTCTTTTCGTTTTGATGCAAATTGAATTCTAGAACCAGTTTGTGAGGAAGTAATTCACGCAAACTACAACATTACGTCCTAAAATCAATCAAAAGAATTGAGAGCCTCCACTCTAACGAGTGTCGAGATGTCCTCACCCTAAAATCGTTGAGATGCTTCTAAAAATCCGACTAATGTAGAGATGTCCAAAGAATGTTGAGACGTCTCTGCTATGGCATCAAGATGCCTATTCCCTGACAAGGGGAGAGTTGGTCTATTCCTCCTTGTCTTCACCACGACAAAGATGTCTCCACCCAATAATTAGATCCCTCGGAAGATGACGAGATATCTCCTCTTTGACCAAGGATTTTGAGAAATCCCCGCCCTACCTATTGATACAATAATATGACACTTCTGCTAGTGACTAACCAAAAAGAGTCGAGAAGCCTTTGTAGCGTCGAAATGTTACTATATTCTCCTTAATTCTCTGCGTGAGAAAGAGTATTGATAAAATTTCATAGAGAAGATTATGT